TCACCTACTGAGATGAGGGGATGAGGGGCGTCACTAAATACTTGCATTTAACACTGTTGCAGATATCCTAATCACCTGAGTTCTCACAGGAGAAAGCTGTGCAATCGTAATAAGATATTTTTTGGGCATTGGCCCTTTAATGGACAGGATAGCCAAGTGTGAAAGGGGGAGAGAGAGAGAGAGAGAGAGAGAGAGAGAGAGAGAGAGAGAGAGAGAGAGAGGGGATGACATGAAGCAAAGGGCCACAGGCTGGACTCGAACCCGGGCCGCTGCGGAAACAGCCTTGTACATGGGGCGCCTGCTTTATCCACTAAGCCACTGACGCCCCATGCATGTTCTTCTAATTGCACACATACTGTATACATGCTTTACTGGTTGTGTCTATGTTCCATCAGGTGTGTATTTATGTCTTACCGTCCGCTGAGCAGAAATCCAGCGACTACCGCCAGTAGGACCAGAGCCAACGTGATGGCCACTGCTACTATCGAAGCCTGAGCACGCTCGCTGGTTGCAGTCACTGCCAGAGAAAAGAGGTGGGATTAGACATAAATACACACACAAAAACACACCTGGCATCCGTTGTTTACGCAGCCTCCAAAAGCAGGTGGGAGTCATGTACAAGTTGAACTCATATGTTCGTGCTCTCTCTGGGTGTACTCACAGTAAGGGCTGGTCTGGAATTCAAAACGTCGGCTAAATGCGCCATAGCCTGCTGAGGTCCTGGCTCGCACCTGCAATGCAACACACCATATTTTTTTTAATATATATTCATATGTGTTACAAGTAACTGTGATTCAACAACTTCTTTCTAATTATTTATTCTCCTATTCTCATCTCAGACAACAATAGAGTGCTTTTTGTCCTCACATTATTATTTAACTGCCTGTATTATTTCATTTTTTTTATTTCTTTGAACCCATGTCTGACCTGAAAGATGTAGGCTGAAGAGGGCTTCAGGCCTTCCACCACCATCTCTGTCTCCTTGGATTTTATAATGGTGTAACTGGAGTCCTGCTCCTGTGGGAGAAAGATGAGAAGGTTTTTGTAATTCATTTACTCGCCTTACATACATTTTCGGAGCTTTGATGATTATATGTTATGCATCTTCTTCCCTGCGTGTTTTTTCCCTCCATTCTTCCTCACATTATTATGCCCGAGCAACCTGTAGTATGTGTGCGAGTGTGTTTAAGTGCATGTGTGTAAGGATCAGTTTCCCAACTGTAACCACATCAGGTTTAAACACAGCTAAATGCCCCCTCCATTAGCCAGAAGCCATTAGCTAACCACTGACCACAAACGCCGCTCTGCTCTCCTGTATACCTTTATTCTGACCTTCCCAGAAAAGACGACATTAGGGGATGAAAGAGAAAAAAGAGGAAGGGCACAGGAACAATGATCTGAATAGAAGCATCAAATTGCTGTCTCTATACAAGCCCAAAAAAAAAAGAAAGAGAAAAAAACCCACATAGCTATAGCGCTGTCACATGAAAGAGTCTTTTTGAGGTAAAGGTTTTCAAGGTAAACTGAATGTGTGAATGTGTATTTCTGAGAGTCAGTTTGAACAATGTTGGTCTGTAAAGTAATAAAAAATAATAAGATCTTATAATAAAACGTTTTATGCAGCATTTAGTTGAAGGCCCTTGTTTGGTCCAGTGTTATGTAGGAATATGGTTATTAGACTGAGTTAAGTAAATCTACATTTTACCAACAGGTAAGTTTAAGTATGAAGTAAAATGACAGTATTATAGTGTTTTTTTAAAGATTTGTAACATTAGAAATTTGGACTTTTACATAGACAGGCTTCACTCATTTTCAAAGAAAGACATTAGAAAATGGATAAATGAAATTAGATAAAAGGTTTGTAGTAGTTAAGACCTAGGGCGGCACGGTGATATGGTGGTTAGCACTGTCGCCTCACAGCAAGAGGGTTCCTGGTTCGATCGCAGGAGGGAGCCCTTCTGTGTGGAGCTTGCATGTTCTCCCTGTGTCAGCACTGGTTTTCTCAGGGTACTCCGGCTTCCTCCCACAGTCCAAAGACATGCAGGTTAATTAGTGACTCTAACTTGTTCGTAGGTGTGAATGTGAGTGTGAATGGTTGTCTGTCTCTATGTGTCAGCCTTGTGATAGTCTGGCGACCTGTCCAGGGTGTACCCTGCCTCTCGCCCAATGTCAGCTGGGATAGGCTGCAGCCCTCCCGCGACCCTCAAGAGGATAAACGTTTATGAAAATGGATGGATGGATAGTTAAGACCTCACAAATTTAAGACTGTTTAATGACTTTTAAGGCCTTATTGTTGTACACTGAATTTAGGACTCTTTAAGGGCCTGTAGACCCCCTGGTTGGGGGTTAGACAGGTATTGGAGACTGGAGTAGAGGAGAAATTAGCAGTAAAGCTGTCAAGTGGTAGTAAATGTGTAGGTTTCAATTTGTCCATGAACAACCTAGCATAACAAAATGAGCCGCGGTTGCACATGGGGAGAGGAGGAGACGACTTTATGAAGAGTCAGAAGGCAAAAACTCACAAAACTGACACTGAAAGAGGCAATATGAAAGGAAGGCAGAGCAGCTTGCGTAGGTGATTACGACAGGACAAAGGTATGTATGTACGTCATGTTAAGTTATTCAGTGTGCTAACATAATTGCAAGGTGAAACCAAAACTACCCGGATTAAATGTATGCACTGTAACTTTGGACTTTTAGGTGTGAAAAGGAGCTCAAGTTATGTGATAATTAACAGCTTCCCAAGAGACCACTTATAATCTTCACACATCATTAAGATAAATTATTCTTACTTAATTGTCAATACGTGTGGTAATACTCTATATAAATTACACTTAAGCATAAGAGTGCTCAGACTGCAGGTACTCAGAAACCACAGGAAGCCAAAGGCCAGCAGACTGAGACACATAGCGTCCTACAGGGTGCTAAAAATAGAACAATATATACATTTTCTTACCTTCTCAAAATACTTGATCTCGTACTCCAGGATGATGCCATTGGGGCGGTCAGGCTCTGCCCAAGAAAGAGCGATGCTGCTCTTCCCTGTGTGACCTTTTCTCACCACACTCACAGGGGACGGTGCTGCACACACACACGTACACACACACACACACACACACACACACAAAAATGACATAATACAATTTCAAGCACCAACATTAATTTGCTTGAGTAGTAAAAATCCAGCAGTTTAATATGATGCGACCCAGCTGATCTTTTTAATTCTGGTATTTATGACTTGTATAACATCCTAATAAACAGTGATTAAACACAAGAGAAATGGAGCCGAGGATGTAAAATCTGTTGGGTACCATCAGCAACTATTAGACGTCCTGCTTTTGACGACACCTCATCCTTTGATGTTTACGTGAGCAGAGCTACTTGTGATGCTTGCTGTGATTGTTGTATGTTATGAAATATTAAACTGAAGATGAAACATCAAAAAACACAAAAAATGGTGAAAAGAAGGGGCTAACTACATTTGAATTTACAGTGTGATGTGCACTCACTGGCCACTTTATTAGGTACACCTTGCTAGTACCAGGTTGGACCCCTTTTGCCTTCAGAACTGCCTTAATTCTTGGTGT